TCCTTGTGGGAGGACGCTGCCTAAATAGAGGTGTAAACAGGTGCAAACAATAACGAAGCAGGTGAAACTAATGTGAGTGATGAAGAACGTAAAAAGACCGAAACTAAGGTGAAACAAAAACACGAAGTAACATCAAAATAAAAGCCGGACGGGAAGCAGCGGAACCGAATCATGACACTCAGTGGCCAGTGTTGGCATCATCCCAGTAGATTAGTCAAATATATCTGGCCTTAAAGGTGTACTCCAGTGATTTACTACTGTAATGTTATACAGATGAAGAATTTACAAGAGGCAGATTTTAAAAAGAAATGTGAAACTTGAAGTAGCATCCTGACATTTAGTCTTTATGGATCATTCTTCAAAAACACAGGCTCCTACACTTCCCATTGTCAAGTCAATAAGGAATTTCACAGGCTGAGTGAACTGTGATAAGTAAACATCACTTCATGTATAAAATGTGTGAACTCACCTTATAACCCATGCAAGAAATATCACAGTGGTATTTTCTAGATAGATAGATAGATAGATAGACTATGCCGACCAATAATCTTCCATTCAGTTTTCTCATCCAGAATATTTTCACACTGAGGACAACGCCGCTTGTCTATTATCATGCAGAGCAGGAAGGATCCACCCAGTGAGATTAACTTTACACATTTAACTCCAAGCCTTCTGGATGGCTAGAGATAAGACAAACTGTCATTTCCAGCACCCAGCAGTTAATACACATACATGCATGAATACAAGGAACTGTGTGCAACCAGACCAAGACATGTTGCCCTCTACTGAATGTTTCTATAATGGCATCATGAAAGAGAGAGCGAAAAAAGAAAAACTCAGATGGACTTGAAGGGATAGATAGATAGATAGATAGATAGATAGATAGATAGATAGATAGATACTTCTACTCTTCTAATATTCAGAGATAAATATTGTACTTTTTACTGCACTATATGCATTTGATGTTTAGTCACTTTACACATTAAATTTGATAATGCAAAACATAATTAACTATTAAATCATGATCTATTCTTATAGATTAGGACAGCATGGACCAAGACTTTGTTGACTTTGCCAAAAGTTGGGAGAGCATTCCAATAGAAGCCCACCTTTCATGTTAAAAGACTGTTTCACCTATCACTTATCTATCACCCCCACATCGGGTACCAGGCTGTGCCATCATAAAAGTGCTAGGCCCCGTGTCAGGGAACAGCATTCCAAGCCTGACCTACCATTAACCTGACTTAACAGTCTTTAAGGCTGCTTTTACCTCCTACCCTCACACAAGCAGGGTAAATACTCTGAGTAGTATTAGAAAGAGTAAATACAGTATGCTTACTGCCCGCTCTAGGCTCCAGCCTCTTATACTCAGTTAATAGGAGAAAAACTGACTGACCAAATCCCCCTACAGCTAACCTTCACTGGTGGACCTTATTGCAACCAACCTCTGTTGCTTCTGACCACAGCACAAGGTGTGGCCTCAGATTAGTGGAAGTTGGTAGTGATTAGTGGTCTCCTGTGGGATGGTAAACTGTTTTCCTACTGTGCCAGACCCGCCCAGCTTTTAGCTGCTCTGCATCATGCGTGTTCACAGTTGTTTACTTCCTGACTGCTATCTTCTTTCCTTTTTACATTCACTGAGTTAAATGCTTATTCTCAGTCGCTGCCACTAGACACTTCTTGGTTATGGGACAGGCTTGTTTTACAATCATTTTATGTTGAAGTGAAACTATACCTGAACACAAAGGGCATGGTTGTTCCCGATGCTCAATTTCTAAGATTTTTGGGAAGTAGAGGCACCATAAATCAGTCCTAGCACGATTCTAATCTGCATGTCACATTCTTCCCTCAAGCTAAGTGTCTTTGAACCATTAAAATGATGTACATACGGGTCCTTTCAAGAATATTTTGGTGCTAATACTTTAGTACTTTTACCTACACAAAATGTTAAATACAAGACTTTTACTACAGTATATTTCTAGAAATATTCTAGTTTTCCTAGTGTGGTATTGCAACTTTTAGCTACTCAAATGAAAGATATAAGTAATTACTCTACCACTAAATTTGGCCTGTAAAAACAATATGAGTGAATAATATTCCTTTATGTAATTTGAAATTGGAAACTTTACAGTTTTGAAAAACTGGCATCTTAGTTTTTTTGTTTTTGCCGCTGGTTATTATGGAGGGGACAACAATAGACGTATTTACTGTAATTAGTTTAATCTTAAAGGGCATTTTTTTATGATTGACTTTAGATTTAAGGACGTTTTATGGTGCCAAGTGAAACTGATAATTGAACAAAGGAACAATGCCTGAATGCCATCTCCTCTGAGCACAATAAGGCAGGAAGAACGCGGAGCTGGCAGTAAAAACCACAGCCCTCTGGAGGAATAGCCCAGGAGCTACTCTGCGTCGAGAGACTGAAGTTATGACTTTAATATGGCTGATAAGGGCCCTTTTTTAACTTCGTGTGTTATTTTCTACCTATCGATCGGGGCCGCGATATTCCAGATTCTCGAAGAGCCAAACTGGATATCAGCCAGAGACAAATACATCCAACAGAAGGAAAACATTCTGAAGAAGTATGCCTGCTTAGAAAAAGAAGACCTGGATGAGATTTTGGAGGTAGGGACCCATGTGTTTCAAATAGCATGACAGACCAACTCCATACCTAATACAGACAAGTTTTCCATTTATCCCCGAGGAGGAAATTTACAGAAGTCTGTTGTGAGTAACTTTGCGGGGATTGACAAACCAGCCGAGTTTCCAAAGAGCTATTAAAACTCCCATGAAGTTATATGATAAAAGAAATAGCGTCAAAAAATGTATAGATGTTATTCTTTATAATACTTCGGGCCACGTTTGAGCACACACTGAGAAGTAAGAGAATCTGGCCGCCTTTACTCGTCACGATCCTCCGAGCTTTGTTTTCCTGGTTAGGAGTAGACAACGTGGAGCTGGCTGGGTCGTCAGCCGTCTCAACACAACCACTATACACTGGGTTAAAATGGGATGTACTGAATGTGATAGGCAGGCTACAACACTGGGACATTATAGACATACACAATTTGTATTAGACATACACAATTGAACCCTCTCCAGTTTAAACGACACGGGTTGGTGTGCTGGACGTGAAGGAACACGTCTTCAGCCTAACTATTTGGGTGTTTGCACAAGGTGTGTTCCGGGTTAATGGCTTTTATGAGGTGCATTCTTCATATATATATATTTATAGCAGAATTACCGATATGCAAATACTTGTTTGCTATCATAATCTCAAAGGGAAAGTACCCTAGTATCATATACGACTGTATTAGTCTTTTGTTGAGAGTGATTTACTGCGTTTACTTGTGCAGATAGTGTCAGAGGCTGCAGGCCAAGGTGTGACCATCACTGGGGATAAATACCGCAACACATGGGACTGGCCAAACGCTGTCATATTTGCTGCCACCATTGTCACCACTATAGGTTTGTATGAGGCACAGTTGTATTACAATGTAATTATTCATTTACTTCTTCTTCTTTTTTTAATGTACACACTTTTTGTGTTTGAGAGTAGTTAAGCATTTCATGTAGGGAGACCGGGGATGATTATATTATATTATTATTGGGTTTGGGGATGGTTGTAACATTTTTAGCCTTTTTGTTTGTCTAACTGTTACAGCCACCCCCATCCCAAGCACCCATTCCTTTTTAGCATGTGGGTTTGAGGTTATGAGTGTAAAGCATCAAATTAAACTAGAGAAGCTGCTGCTTTAGGTTGTATAAGTCAAACCATTGTATCTACAATACAATGACAACTAGGTAAATAAATAATCTTGGTAAAAATGAGACTTTTTTAAACCTGAAAATATATATATATATATATATTGTTCATAAAATACACTGCGTTTGCTCACAGAGACATGCCACGTCTCCTGTCAGCTCAAAAAGGAAAGGGGAATTTATGTTAGTGATAATATCACTGCAGCTCTCTTCTGATTGGTCAAAGTGACAGTATTATAACTGACCAGCTGTTACAACATTCCCCGGTCTCCCCTACTTTGCAAAGACGAACAGGACAGAAAAAATACAGTAGTTGCCTATTTTATAATACTGTGGGAAAGGTTTATAATTGCTTTATACATCAGTAGGCTATGTTATACTTTCAAACCTGCTAACCCACTTTTTATTCTTACGGCTTGATTAATAAATGGCTTATTAGCCACAAATAAAGCCAATAGTGGCTGTAGCTTTGTATACCTTGCTCATAAAATTTAAATAAATAAAGAAGTAAATATTCCTTTTGTTTGATTTGATT